CCCAGGTGCTTGGGCCCTGCACCCCATGGGAGACCAGGAAAAGCACCTGGCTCCTGGCTCCTGGCTCCTGCCATCGGATCAGCGTGGTGCGCCGGCCGCAGCGCGCCGGCCGCGGCGGCCATTGGAGGGTGAACCAACGACAAAGGAAGACCTTTCTCTCTGTTTCTCTCTCTCACTGTCCACTCTGCCTGTCAAAACAACAAAGACTAACAAATAAAGCTAGGTACTGCAAAAAAAAAAACCACAATCAATAGCCTTTGTACACAAAGGCAATGCTATGGCTGAGAAAGAACTTCTAAGATCAATCCCATTCACAACAGCTACAAAAAAAAAAAAAAAAAAATCAAATACCTTAGAATAAATCTAGCCAAGGATGTCAAAGATTTCTATGATGAGAATTACAAAACATTAAAGAAATAAATAGAAAACACACACAAAAAAAAGGAAAAATCTTCCATGTTCATGGATTGTAAGAATCAATATCATCAAAATGTCCATACTAATGAAAGCAATTTACAGATTTAATGCAATACCAATCAGAATACCAAGGACAGTCTTCTCAGATATAGAAAAAATGATGCTGAAATTCATATGGAAATACAGGTGACCCCAAATTGCTAAAGCAATCTTATACAACCAAAACAAAGCCAGAGGCATCACAATACCAGATTTCAAGACATACTACAGGGCAGTTATAATCAAAAGAGCTAGAACTGGTACAAAAACAGATGGATAGATCAGTGGAACAGAATAGAAATGTCAGAAATCAACCCATGCATCTACAATCAACTTATCTTTGACAAAGGATCTCCTCAACAAATGGTGCTGGGCAAACTGGATCTCCACATGGAGAAATGTGAAGCAAGACTCCTACTTCACACCTTACACAAAAATCCACTCAAAATGGATTAAAGGTCTAAATCTACAACCTGATACCATCAAATTATTAGAGAACATTCAGGAAACCCCTGAAATAACAAATAAATAAATAAATGGAGCCAGTGTTGTGGCATAGTGAGTAAACGCCCTGGCCTGAAGCGCCGATATCCCATACGGCACCAGTTCAAGACCTGGCTGCTCCACTTCTGATCCAGCTCTCTGCTGTAGCCTGCGAAGGCAGTGGAGGATAGTCCAGGTCCTTGAGCCCCTGCACCGGCAAGGCAGACTCAGAGGAAGCTCCTGGCTCCTGGCTCCTGGCTTCAGATCGCCACAGCTCTGGCCGTTGCAGCCATTTTGGAAGTGAGCCAGCGGATGGAAGACCTCTCTCTCTCTCTCTCTCACTCTCTCTCTCTGCCTCTCTTCTCTCTGACTTTCAAATAAATAAATAAATCTTCAAAATAAATAAATAATAAATCATGGTCAAATGGGTAAATGCACATACAGGAATGCATTTCTGATCACCATTCAAAAAAATCAATATATTAAAAACTAAATGTTCATCTCAGAAAATGCAGAAAAATCACTTTAATAATCTAACATACATTCTTTGTTAAAAAAAAAAAACTTTGAACAATGAGATGGGAAATACAATGAAATTTCCACAATCTGATCATCAACAATAAAAATCTACATATAAACATCATTCCTAATAGTGAGTGATTGAATGTTTTCACCCTAAAATCAGGAACCAGGCAAAGGACGTCAATTCTCACCAGTTCTATTTATTATTGTACAAATGTTACCAACTCATGCATGCAATAAGACAAGAGTAAAAGAAAAAGAGTGATGAGAATGTAAAGGGAAGAATTAAATCATGTCTTTTCCAGATACAGTCTTATTTACAGTAAATTTATTGTATATACAGTTACCAGAAATAATGTGAGCTTAGCAGTCAATTGCAATTCTTGTTAAATCAGGCCGGCGCTGCGGCTCACTAGGCTAATCCTCCGCCTTGTGGCGCCGGCACACCGGGTTCTAGTCCCGGTCGGGGCGCTGGATTCCTTCCTGGTTGCCCCTCTTCTAGGCCAGCTCTCTGCTGTGGCCAGGGAGTGCAGTGGAGGATGGCCCAAGTGCTTGGGCCCTGCACCCCATGGGAGACCAGGAGAAGCACCTGGCTCCTGCCATCAGATCAGCGTGGTGCGCCGGCCGCGCTGGCCATTGGAGGGTGAACCAACGGCAAAGGAAGACCTTTCTCTCTGTCTCTCTCTCTCACTGTCCACTCTGTCAAAAAAAAAAAAAATCAAATCAATTGCCTTCTTCAATGCTAGCAACAATTGGAAATTAAAGCTAAGGGCAGGGGCCTGCATTTTGGAGCAGTGGGTTAAGCTGCGACTTGTAATGTCGGCATGCCATCATCCCATATCTGAGTGCTAGTTGGAGTACCAGCTGCTCCGCTTCCAATCCAGTTCTCTGCTAATGTGCCTGAGAAAGCAGTGGAAAATGACCCAAGTACTTGGGTCCCTGCCACCAGCATGGGAGACCCGGATGGAGCTTCTATCACTGGCTTTGGCATGACCCAGCTTTGGCCCACTGGGGCCTCCAGGGAGTGAACCAGCGATGGAAGATCTTTCTCTTTCTGTCACTCTCTCAAATAAATAAATCTTAAAAAAATTAAAAACATAAAAGCAAAACAATCTACAATAGCATGAACTATATGAAATAATGTATAGACTGACCAAAAATGTGCAATATCTGTATACTGTATACTGAAAACTACAAAAAAAAACTGAGAGCAATTGAAGAAAATCTAAATAGAGATTTGTACTTCATACTCATGGCTCAGAAGACACAACGTTATCAAGAAATCAGTGTCCTCCAGCACTGTGGCACAGCAGGTTAAGCCTCCGCCTGCAGCGCCAGCTTCCCATATGGATGCCAGTTCTGCTTCATGTCCCACCCAGCTCCCTGCTAATGGCTTGGGAAAGCTGTGGAGGTCAGCTCAAGTGGTCGGCCCCGGCATCAAGGTGGGAGATTGGGAAGAAGCTCCTGGCTTCTTTGTGGCCATTTGGGGAGTGAACCAGCTAATGGAAGACCTCTTTCTCTCTCTCTGTAACTCTGCCTTTCAAATAAATAAAATCTTTTAAAAATAATCAACTGCCACCCTCATTCAGGTGGTGATCTCTCGCGTGCTCTTCCTCACACACAATCACAAGTATCTCATTCCCCACCCTCATAACGGGAATATCTCCAGGTCCCCTACAGCCACCAGGCTGCCAATGTCCAAGACGTCAAGGCTGTGTCTCCGCCCTCCACACTTCTTAGAACCGGTGGTCAGTGCCACCCCCACGAAAAGCACAAATGCACCTTCATACGTTGGAGCACTTTGAACAAGAGGGAGAACTCCCACGTGTCCAGGCGGCGCCTGGGCAAGCATTGGGTCAGTCAGGCAGGGCGCTGAGACGATTCGGGACAACTTCCTTCCCGCCAGTTCCGCCAGGCTTCTGGGCTCCAGCTTGAACTACATTTCCCAGAAGGCCCTGCTGCTCGAATCAACGCCCAGCGTGAGCGGCAGTGCTCGAGGGGACTTGCTTTTCACACGGTTAGGCTTAGCTGTCTCCGGTATGACCTCGCAGGAAACCGTTCAGGTCGGGCCAGACGAGAAGATTTTCTTCTCAGGTGTGTGGCGAACAGAAACTCAACGACCCGGAGGCTCCTGACGTTCTACTCTTCCAAGCGCCGGGCGACATTTCCCAGGAGCCTTCGCGGCTGGCTGGCTCCGTGTAGGAACAAAGCGGTTTCTTGGCAGTGGACAGGATCGTGCACCATCTCAAGGCCCCTGTGCTGAGTTTTGGGTGGCGGAGGGCTGCTGGAGGTGTGGCGTCCCAGAACAAGGGTACCTTCGGTGTCAGCCTGTGCTAGTGGGAGCGACTGAATAGAGTTGGTGGCAGGTGGTATGCACCCGCGGGTTTGAAATGTATACAACCTGAGCGTCTGTTTTCAACTGGCGTAGTTCATCTGTTCACACTCCCTGTACACCTGCTGCAGCACCAGCCTCATTGCTGAGACAGCTGGTCACCCCGAGAGGCTTCCGCCCTATTCTCTCAGTATCTAGTCTACATCTTTGCTACAGCAGGAGCCTGTTGTTACCGGAGGAAAGGCCGTGGAAGCCGTGGGGTTCTTGTCTTCACGCAAGAAAGAATTAGGGCGTGAGACAGAGAGCAGAGTGCATCCGTCAGGACAGAAGGGACAGGGAGCGCCCAGTCGCTCGGACTGGGGGAGAGCGGGGTTACATGCTTGAATGGAGAGAATACACCGGCGGCCCAGCAGAGAAGCAGAGGGCTGAGCTCCCAGTCCATTTGGACTCCCTAGGTTTTTAAGGGAGTCTGTTTATCCACCTCCCCCTCTCCTTCAGGACAAAGGATGGGGAGTCCTGGCAGAAGGGTTTGTTGGGTGAAAATTAGCAAATTCCTGACGCCTGGGCAGAGCAGGGGGGCTTCCCTCAGGTCTGTGAGGGTTTTATTGCCCCATGTTATCAGGTAACCCCTTTGGTCTAGAGGAGAGAAAATTCTGGGAGCTTTCCTTGGGGGAAAGGCGGGACCGCCTGCGAGGTTAGCAGGGTCTGGGCAGGACTTTGAAGTGCAAGATGCTGGGCTTCTGGGGCTTCCACAGTAGGTGCTGGTCTTCAGGCCTGTCTCATACACACATAGGCTCAATTTCTGACTTCCTACCTAACACTGTGACCCCCGAACCTCCAACCTCAGTGGACTTGGGCTGAGTCCTCTGCTATCCCCAGCATAGGGACTTCCCAACTGGGAGATTGACTCCTTAGCAGCCAGAGAGCCTTTATACTTCTTTTCCAAATAGTACCACTAGACTAGCAACCAGCTACATACCTGGGACAGCCCCCTCTGAAACAGCTGTCTAGTGGGGAGGGGAGGATTGTTAATGTACACGTCTTCCTTCTCCACCACTGATTTATATAATTACAAGGCACACACCAAAGGGTTAAGAGATGTTCCAGAGGAGGGGGCTGGCATTGTGACACAGTGGGTAAAACCATCACCTGCGATGCTGGGATCCCATATGGGTGCCGGTTCAAGTCCTGGCTGCTCCACTTCATCTTTTTTTTTTTTTTTTTTTTTTTTAAGATTTATTTTATTTATTTGAAAGACAGAGTTACAAAGAGAGGTAGAGACAGAGAGAAGGTCTTCTATCTGCTGGTTCACTCCTCAGATGGTTACAATGGCCGGAGCTGTGCCGGTCCGAAGCCAGGAGCCAGGAGCTTCTTCCAGGTCTCCCACGTGGGTGCAGGGGCCCAAGGACCTGGGCCGTCTTCCACTGCTATCCCAGGCCATAGCAGAGAGCTGGATCGGATGTGGAGCAGCAGGGACTCCAACTGGCGCCCACATGGGATGCCCCACTGCAGGCGCCAAAGTGCCGGCTCCTCTATCACATTTTAATTTCATGTCTATCACATTTTTAATATCACTTAGTGTGCTTTTCACTCTTTTCACTTGAAATTTTTCTGATTTTCTCTTCCCTCTCTATAAATTAAGAGTACTAAACCATTTCTCTTTATTGTGTCCTTAACAGAGCTGCTTTGAAATCCTCATCTGAGCATTTAAAAATTTCAGTTCCTATATGGTTGATTTCTGGCATCTTATTTTACTGTTTAAAGGGAAAGTTATGGTTCCTTAAAGTTCTTTATGCTTGTTGGTGCATAACTTTGCATGCTGAAGGATTTGTTATATAGTAACTTGGTCTGTTCGTGGCTGTCCTAAACAGTCCTTATTTTCTCTGAGGTTATGGACACTTGTACATGTCAACACTAAACAGCAAGCACCCGGAGTTGAGGTTTGCCCAAGGTCTGATGTTGAGATGTCTTCACTGTTTGTTCTACAATTCTAAGTTCAAATTCATCCCAAATTTGTAGCTGGAGTGTTGCTCAGCAATAACTGGGGAAGCTACAAAAAGGGGTAGGGTAGTCCATCCCTAAAAATTCCTTCTGTGTCCTGTGTCTTCCACTGCCATGGTACTAGATCACACCTGGAGCCCACAGCCTACTGAGACCAGTGCAGCTTGTATACGGGACAGAAGCCCAACCTTCTGAGGTCCATCTTCTCCAGAGAGGAACTCACTGCATGATTCCGCTCCTTCCAGCCACTAGTGATGCTGGCCATGGTGTAAGACTGATTACCCTGGGGCCTCAGACCTCCACTTGGCACTGAAGCGAGTGCAGAGTCTTTGTCTACAGGCGCCCACCGGGGGACAGGGATCATTAGGATCTGTTCAATGTTGGATTTTACCATCCTGGTACTGACTGCCAAAACAGTGTATTTTCTTGCTGTCTGCCCAAGGTTGTAAGAGGGGTGACAAGAGTCACCCCTTCTGCTGTCCAGGCACACACTAAGTGGGTTACACCTAGGTCTCATAGTCATTAGGCTCTTGTACAATTTTGAGGATGCCTATCAGGCCCATAAAAGTGTTGATAGTCACTGAAACAAGTCATCCCACTCAGTTGCCTGTCTCCACCTGGTAATGGGGCAAGTCCAGAGACTGTCCACAGGCACTTGCCCAGGAATGGGGATCATGAGGATCTGCAAGCGCCGGGACTATCTGCCCAAGGTTGGGGGAGGGTGACAAAAGCAGCCCCCTGGCCACTCAGACTGACCAGGCGAGTCCCAGCTGGGTCCCACAGTCACTGAGACTGGGTGTGCATGCCAGGCTCGCCTGATGCTGGTGGTGGCCAGAATGAATTTATGCCACCAGAACACAGGCCACCACCTGATACCAGGTAAATCCAGAAACTCCGTGAGCAACAGCCTGAGGACAGAAGCTGCTGGACTTTATCAGGTACTGAATCTCATGTTGGCACTCCAAGGCAAGGTCTTGAGTTCCCTCGCATGTCCTACTCTGTCAAGCCTTGCTCTACTTTCTTCCAGCATTTGAGGAGAAGGGTGATGGAGGTTAGTTACCTGGTTACATAGGGGTCAAAGTCTGCAGGTACAGGCCAGGGGGCAGGAGCCAGGGTTTCTGCCAGCATTTTATCAGGTAGGCCAGGGTTTCAATTCTCTCTCCACACACTACTTGGGGCCAGGGGAGGCTTGATGCAGGCAACACTTTCCTTACTTTCTTCAAACTGTTATTATAATAACACAAGGTGCTGTGCTCTCTCTGGGTTCTGTAGTTCTTGTGAATTGTGACTTGGTGCATGAATAGCTGTTCCTATAATTATCTCTGCGGGAAGGTGGATGCCAGGGTCTTACTCGGCTGCTATCTTCCGTCCCTAAGCTAGTTCTTTACATGTTTTCTACTTCTTTATTAAATTTCCATTTTGTTCAAGTTTTGTTTTCCTAATTTCACTCCAGGGTCTGCCCATGTTTTCTTGCATGTAATTCAGCTTCTTTAACATGGTAACTTTGGGGAAAAATTATGAGCTAGTTTGTATTTCTCCATTTCTTTTGGGTCAGTTATTGGAACTTCATTAGTTTCCATGTTGTTGTACATGTAGGCTTTTGTTGGTACCTGCACTTGGAGGTCTTAACTGCTTTTGGCAAGTTACATTCTCCTGTGAAGTTTGTGGTTGAATGAGGTTGGATCTGGGCCTTGTGGAGTCATTCTGCATGTACAATGACAACTGATTTTATTGAGCTTATTACCAGGAAATCTAGTAAGAGTAGGGCCTATCTGGCCCCTGGCTGGACCTTGCTTCCTCCAGGCCTTGGATTGTTAGGCTGGCATGAAGAGAAGAGTCATTTCAGTGTTCACAGGATGTTGGTAACAGGCCCACTGATGGGTATAGCATCATTACGGCGTCTTGGAGAGTTCCCTTGGGATCACTGGAAAAGTGCCTGGGCTGGCTTTACTGCCAAGGTACATACCAGAGATGGGCTGAAATTGAGAAAAAGTTCAGAGTAGAGAGCTGAGACAGACCTCCAGGTTAGTTCTGAGTCTCAGATATGTGTCTCCTAGTGGTTTCCTGGGTGAGTAATCCTGCTCTGAGACTGCAGTTGAGAAGGCTGGAGCAAACATAAGGTCATTTTCAGATCCCAGACAGGCAAAATTGCTCCTATTCCACAGGTAAGAAGGGCTTGGACCAAGGCCCCAGGCATCTCAGGATCTGTTATGGATCTGTTACGGAAGTGTGGAAAGCCTGCCTCAGGATTTGGGAGATTTTTAAGAATCTTTTTTTTTTTTTTTTTTTTGACAGGCAGAGTGGACAGTGAGAGAGAGACAGAGAGAGAAAGGTCTTCCTTTGCCGCTGGTTCACCCTCCAATGGCCGCCGCTGCAGCCGGCGCACCGCGCTGATCCTGGCAGGAGCCAGGAGCCAGGTGCTTTTCCTGGTCTTCCATGGGGTGCAGGGCCCAAGCACCTGGGCCATCCTCCACTGCACTCCCTGGCCATAGCAGAGAGCTGGCCTGGAAGAGGGGCAACCGGGACAGAATCCGGCGCCCCAACCGGGACTAGAACCCGGTGTGCCGGCGCCGCAAGGTGGAGGATTAGCCTATTGAGCCACGGCGCCGGCTAAGAATCATTATTAAGTGTGTGATTTTCAGCAGACATACAAAGACTTTAGGTTTGAGTTGGTCAGTAAAAACATTCAATTTATTAAATCTTTCAGATTTAGTTTATCAGTTCTCTTTAACAGAATATTCAGAAAACTATTAATTGTTCAATATTAAGTGAAATGCTAGTCGGTAATTTCAAACATTAAAAGTTGCCTTTAAAAAAACATAAATAAGCAACTATTTCTCGATACTTAATATTCCTAAATTAGTGAGATTTGGAATTAGTGAATATTGCTATAGATGTTAATTATTTCTGAAGATTTAGACATGAAAGAACTTCAGTGACAGCTAACATAGTTACTGGGATATATCTAAATATTTAAACAACCAAACTGGTGCTGCTTCTAGAGGAGATCTAGTGTCTAAAAATGTGTCGTCAAAAAACATATTAAATTTTTACTCAGGAGCTCATATAAAAAGATGCTTCCTTTAAGTTCATTTTAAAAATATAACATTAAAAACAAATCAACAGATATAAAAGCTCCTTTTAAAAGATAAATTCTATCTCATTTAATTTAAAAAAATTTTTAAAAGATTTATTTATTTATTGAAAGGCAGAGTTACAGAGAGGAAGAAGCAGAGAGAGATCTTCCATTTGCTGGTGCACTCCCCAAATGGCCGAAATGGCTGGAGCTGAGCCAATCCAGGAGATTCTTCCAGGTCTCCCATGCGGGTGCAGGGCCCCAAAGACTTGGGCCATCTTCTACTGCTTTCCCAGGCCATAGCAGAGAGCTGGGTTGGAAGTAGAGCAGCCAGGACTTGAACCAGTGCCCATATGGGATGCCAGCACTGCAGGCAGTGGCTTTACCCGTTATGCCACAGTGCCAGCCCCAAATTCTACCTCATTTTAAACCAATAACTATATCAAACCTGAATACAAAAGGAAATTACTAATCCTCTGCCTGCAGCACCAGTACTCCAGGTTCTAGTCCTGGTTGGGGCGCTGGTTCTGTCCCGGTTGCTCCTCTTCCAGTCCAGCTCTCTGCTGTGGCCCGGGAAGGCAGTGGAGGATGGCCCAAGTGCTTGGGAGACCAGGAGGAAGCACTTGGCTCCTGGCTTCGATTGGCGCAGCGTGCCGGCCATAGCGGCCATTTGGGGGGTGAACCAACGGAAGGAAGACCTTTCTCTCTCTCTCTCTCTCTCTCTCTAACTCTGCCTGTAAAAAAAAAAAAAAAAAGGAAATTAGATCGCTTCCTGTATAAATACATATTTAAAAAATCTAAATAAAAAATTAAGTAATGGAATTCAGTAAGCATCAAAAGAATATCATACCAAGGCCGGCGCTGTGGCATAGTGGATAAAGCTGAAGCCTGCAATGCATGCATCCTTTATGGGTGCTGATTCGAGTCCCAGCTGCTCCACTTCCAATCCAGCTCTTTTTGCTATGGCCTGGGAAAGCAGTAGAAGATGGCCCAAGTCCTTGGGTCCCTGCACCTGCATGGGAGACCAGGAAGAAGCTCCTGGCTCCTGGCTTTAAAAAAAAAAAAAAAAAAAAATTATACCATGGCTAACCCATATTTACTCCAGGAATGTTTAAAAATCATTGAAGCTATCAATATTAATTAATGTCAATAAATTAAAAAGTATATAACTATAGAAATGGATAATGAAATAGTACTTTAAATCAATGAGAAATTTTAAATATTGGAACTCACATATAACAGACTATTTCCCTTCAACTGAAAGCAAATATTAATTTAAAAAAATATATTTATTTTATTTTATTTGAAAGTCAGAGTTACAGAGAGAAAGAGACAGAAAGAAAGAGAAAGTCTTCCATCCACTTGTTCACTGCCCAAATGGCCACAACGCTGGAGCTGAGCTAATCAGGAGCCAGGAGCCAGGAGATTCTTCGGGTCTCCCATTAGGGTGCAGGTGCCCAATCACTTGGACCATCTTCTACTGCTTTCCCAGGCCACAGCAGAGAGCTAGATAGGAAGAGCAGCAACCGGAACTTGAAATGGCGCCAGCTTTACCCACCACACCGCAGTACCAGCCCCAGAAACAAATATTAAATTAATGTGAAAGGCTGGAAGTAATTTCCACTAAATTGGAGGAAAAGACTAAAAGGCTGATATCACTTCTAATGTACAATGTAGCTAAAGCCATTTCAATAAAAAAAATTATATAAATGTTATAAAAGTAATTTTCACTGTGACTTGCAGATAATTTGATGATATACAAAACCAAGGAGTACAATAAAATTATGAATAGAAATGATAAAAATATCTGTAAAGCAAAAAATATCATATAAAGATCCTGAACATGATTTTAAAAAATAACATCATAAGAGCCACCACTCTGGTACAGTGGATAAAGCTGCTGCCTATGATACCTGTATCCCATATGGGTACCAGTTTGTGTCCTGGCTGCTCCACTTTCAATCCAGCTCCTTGCTAATGGCCTAGGAAAAAACAGAAGATGGTCCAAGTATGTGGGCCCTGACACCTGCATGGTAGACCTAGATGAAGCTCTTGGCTTCTGGCTTTGGCCTGACCCAGCAATGGCTCTTGTGGCCACCTGGGACATAAATCAGCAGATGGAAGATTCTTTCTGTCTCTTCCTCTAACTCTTTCAAAATAAATAAATAAATCTTAAAAACATATGAATCCATAGGGGAGAAATGAATAAATGGGTAAAGAACAAAATTAGAAAAACCATAACAACATGATTGGCCAATGAAAATATGTGAAAAAAAAAAACAAAAAACAGTGATTAGAAAAATAAAAACTGGGGCCCGCAGGGTGGCAGAGAAAGTAAATCTGCCACTTGTGACACGAGCATCCCATGTGGGTGTTGGTTCATATCCTGGCTGCTCCACTTCTGGTGGAGCTCCCTGAAAATGGCTTGGGAGAAGAAGATGGCCCAAGTGTCTGAGTCCCTATCACCCACACTGGAGACCCAGATGAAGCTCCTGGCTCATGGCTTCAGCCTGGCTCAGCCCTGGCCATTGCAGTCACCTAGGGAATGAACCAGCAGAGAGAAAACCTCTCTGTCTCTCCCTCTCTCTCTATAACTCTTTCAAATAAGTATATAAATGGATGGATGGATGGATGGATGGATGGATGGATGGAAGGAAGGAAGGAAGGAAGGAAGGAAGGAAGGAAGGAAGGAAGGGAAAAGCATACTACAATTAGTACAGGACATATTTCAGTTTTGACTAAGTGTCAAATGTTACAAAGTGAACACGATGGCTATATATATATATATATATATCTCCAAGCTGAAAACATTTTCAACAAAAGTGTGAGAAATAAAAGGCTGTTTTAAAAACCATAAAAGGCCGGTGCTGTGGTGCAGTGGGTTAAAGCGCTGGTCTGCACTGCCAGCATCCCATATGAGTACCAGTTCAAGTTCCGACTGCTCCACTTTGATCTAGCTCTCTGCTGTGGCCTGGGAAAGCAGTAGAAGATGGCCCAAGTCCTTGGGCCCTTGCACCCACGTGGGAGACACAGAAGCAGCTCCTGGCTCCTGGCTTTGAATCAGTGTTATTCCAGCCATTGTGGCCACCTGGGGAGTGAACCAGCAGATGGAAGACATCTCTCTCTCTCTCTCCTTCTTTAACTCTTTCAAGTAAATAAATCTTCAAAAAAAATCATAAAAGATTTAAATACATGAGGCATACGTAAATGAAGATTATGTACAAAGATATTTCATTTTATATAAAAATAGCAGCTCTGCATTCAGAAAAAGCTGATGACAGGTCACGATGTGACTGTCTGCCATCCATCCAACCATGGATAATCACATGAAATGACGACTAATAATTCCAACCCTGGAGGCACTGTCTTTGGGTTTGGCAAACTTTCCCAAAGGCGTTAATCAGTATTGTGGATGGGAGTTACATGTTAACATTTAAATATATTCTTTACCAATGAATTATATTCATTTGTTCAGCTGATGTGAGCTTTTCATTGTTCCAAGGTAAGCATAGAAACCATAATTTTAAAAGCAATGTGTAAAGACATTTCTCTATATTTAACATGTACATTTAATAGACTGCAGGAGTAATACTACTCCATGACTTATATTACTACACAACTCAAATTATTATTCTGGTATTTTAACTGTAACATTTAACCTTGTTATGGGACAATGGTGTTAACTATCAGAGTGAATTAATAGTATACTGGAGGGGCCTGGCACCATGGCACAGTGGATTAATCTTCTGCCTATGGTGCCAACATCCCAAATGGGCGCCGGTTCTAGTCCTGGCTACTCCTTTTCTGATCCAACTTTCTTCTATGGCCTGGGAAAGCTGAAGATGGCCCAGGTGATTGGGCCTCTGCACCCATGTGGGAGACCAAGAAGAAGCACCTGGTTCCTGGCTTCGGATCAGCGCAGTTCCGGCCGTTGTGGCCATTTGGGGAGTGAACCAACGGAGGGAAGACCTTTCTTTCTGTCTCGCCTCACTGTCTGTAATTCTACCTCTCAAGTAAATAAAATCTTTTAAAAAAAAAAAAGTATACTGGATTCTCTAATAAACACATAGAAATGTGGAAGTGAGATAACCACACCCACACTGAAATAACTAAACTTTTAGAGTAGTATTTCCAGTTACTAATGAATAAAGTTTAATAATAATCTTAGTGATAATAATTGACTTCCTATACAGACATTAAGAGTTTATTTCCTCGGTTTTGCATGTCACATGCTTGTTCATTATGTTATCAATGCCTAGTAAGTAACGAGCACTGAAAAATTATGAAGACAGAATGATAAACAGAACAAAGTTCTGGTCTTCGTTCATGGTTTCCTGTATGCACTGAAGAATATTAAATTTCTAATGAGTAGAGGACTGTTAGCATTCTAAACTACTGCTATATTGACATCTGATCATCATTCCTCCCTGAACAAGTTCTAATTTCAGTGTTAACTTCTATTCAATTTAGGAATTATACATTAGATTTTAAATTTCAAAAAGGTGACAAAATATTGCCGTGTAGATTTCTAAATATAAAATGCTTCTATGATGGAGTGATCTAGCACTCATCTCTAGAATCCAATGATAGCATCCATACAAGTCGAGTATCCCTTGTCTTAACTGTTTGGTACAGAAGCGTTTCAGATTTGGGATTTTAGAATATTTGTTTATACATAATGAGATATCTTGCAGATAGGACCCAAGTCTAAACATAAATTCATTTATCCTTCACAACCCTAAATGCCTGGCATTGTCTGAAGGTAATTTTATTGTGTAACAATATTTCAGGCAACAATAGGCCACATTTACCATGCTGGTGCCATCAGACTGTATCAACTAGTTTTGTCATAGCTTGTGTAAGTATGCTACATGATCACACAATGATGAAGTTGCTTAGCAACACATTTTTCAAAAATAGTCCTGAAGTTATACAATGCACACTTGCATTTTTAGTTCACTTACATTTTAAGGTCATGTGTGGCACCATGTTTATACTCAAAAAGTGACACAGTTTGGAGCATTTCAGGTTTTGGATTTTCAGATTAGAGATGTTCAACCAATACTGGGAAAACTCAACATTGTGTGTTTTTTTAATTTACAAAACATCTACGACATTAAACCTCTTTAACAACTAGAACTATTAGAAACAGAAAAACAAAATAAATGATGCAAAAAGAAACAATTTTAAAAACTTAGAATGTGGGACATACAGCAAGATAACAATCCTGTACTGTTCAAAACTCTAAAGTCATGGAAACTTGTAGAGATGATGTTTTAAATCAGAAACTGGGAATGTTTTAGGATGTGCAGATACTCAACTCTGCTAGGGTGGCAATGAAAGCAGTCACACAATAAACTAATGAATGTGACTGCTACCTTAACACTCATTTTTTAAGTTCTCTCATGATTTTTTAAAATATTCTATTAGATTTTAGTCAGAAAATTTAGGTAGGCATAGGAAATTATATAAAATTTTTCTCAATTTCTTTTACATATATGCATTTTAATCTTATAATTCACTAGCAGTAATAAAGGAAAATACTTCAAATAGTATCTAATGCTTACTGAACAGAGACTACATGTGAGGTTATTTTTCATATTTTCTACATTCCAGTAGTAGCACTATAATGTAGGAATAGTTATCATCTGTATATTCCCAGGATGAAGAAATAGCTTGCTCAATGTCACACAGGCTACAAAGAATAGAAATCATAATGGTTTCTCCAAAATTGTTACATCAACAGGGGTTTGCCTGTCAACATTCTAAATTTCTGATATATAGGCATTTAATCATCACTCCTGGTTGAACAAGCCCTAATTCAATATGAACTTTTTATTTAATTATTGTTATATATGAGATTTTAAATTTCAAAAAGGTGACAAAATATTACCATACAGATTACTAAATGTGAATGTATCTCTACAATGGAGTGATCTAGTAGTCACCTCTCTATCCAAGTGACAGCATCTACCATTAATACAGGTTGAGTATACCTTATGGATTTTTTTGTTTTTGTTTTTTTCTTTTTGACAGGCAGAGTGGACAGTGAGAGAGAGAGACAGAGAGAAAGGTCTTCCTTTGCCGTTGGTTCACCCTCCAATGGCCGCCACGGCCGGTGCGCTGCGGCCTGCGCACCGCGCTGATCCGATGGCAGGAGCCAGGTACTTCTCCTGGTCTCCCATGGGGTGCAGGGCCCAAGCACTTGGGCCATCCTCCACTGCCTTCCCGGGCCACAGCAGAGAGCTGGGCTGGAAGAGGGGCAACCGGGACAGAATCCGGCGCCCCGACCGGGACTAGAACTCGGTGTGCCGGCGCCGCAAGGTGGAGGATTAGCCTAGTGAGCCGTGGCGCCGGCAGATTTTCTTAAATTTAACAATAATTTATTTGGACTGGATGGATTTTATAAATAAAGCATAAAAAATAAGAACTGGGGCCAATGTTGTAGCACAGTGGGTTAAGCTGCCGCCTGAGACACCAGTGCCCCATAAGGCTGCAGGTTCAAGTCCTGGCTGATCCACTTCCAATCCAACTCCCTGCTAATGCACCTAGGAAAGCAGCAGAAGATGCCCAAGTACTTACACTCTTGCCACCTATGTGGGAGACTTGGATGGAGTTGAGTTCCTGGTTTGGGTCTGGCCCAGCCTTGGCCATTATGGCCATTTGAGCAGTTAACCAGTAGATGAAAGATTTTCTCTCTATATATAACTCCGCCTTTCAAATAAATAAAATCTATTTAAAAAAAAAAAAAACACAAAAACTAACAGCATTTCTAACTTCTCTGAATTTTCTTTTAATGCAAATATACTGAAAATAATAAAGAAACATAAATAAAGCTTTCCTATGTTATATAAAAATATGGTATCTGGATGTAAATATTTGGATGAGTTAAAAAACTTGAAATATTATTTATATTCTCAAGGGTTCTCACCAAACTAATGCTTTCTAAGAACTAAACCATACCTAAAAACATTTGCACATTCTTTCCTAATTGTTTCTCAATGTAATAAATATACTGTATATCATCTAGTAAATACATATGCCTTTCCACAGCCCTTACATTCTTAAAGTTTCTCTCGACTATGAATTCTCCGGTGTACTTTAAGACTTGAACTATGCCTAAAGTACTTACCACACCTGTCACATTCAAAAGGCTTCTTGCCACTGTGAATACTCTGATGTAGAGTAAGTCGTCCACACACGCTAAAGGCCTTCCCACATTCCTTACATTGATAGGGCTTCTCACCTGTATGAAGTCTATGATGTATAATCAGTTGACGGCGACTCCTAAAAGCCTTCCCACAGTCTTTACATTCATAGGGCTTCTCACCAGTATGAATGCGTTGATGCTTAACAAGGCTTGAGATATAACTAAAAGCCTTCCCACATTCTTTACATTCATAGGGTTTCTCACCTGTATGAATTCTCTGGTGCATCCTAAGGCTCCCACCATGTATAAAGGCCTTCCCACATTCTTTACATTTATAGGATTTCTCACCAGTGTGAATTTTCTCATGATGAATAAGTACTGAGGTATGATTAAAAGCCTTCCCACACTCGTTACATTCATAGGGTTTCACACCAGTATGCGTTCTCTGATGTGGAATGAGCTGATAGACGTGACTAAAGGTCATCCCACATTCTTTACACTCAAAGGGCTTCTCCCCAGTGTGAATTCTCTCATGTTGAACAAGATTTGAAGCACGACTAAAGGCTTTCCCGCATTCTTTACATTTATAGGGTTTCTCACCGGTATGAATTCTATGATGTACTCTAAGATCTATAACACGACTAAAGGTCATCCCACATTCATGGCACTCGTAGGGTCGTTCTCCAGTATGAATTCTGTCATGTTGCATAAGGTAAGAGGCTTGACTAAAAGCTTTTCCACATTCCTTACATTCATAGGGTTTCTCCCCAGTATGAATTCTCTGGTGGATTTTAAGTCCTCCACGTTGACTAAACGCCTTCCCACATTCATGGCACACATAGGATTTCTCACCAGTATGAACTCTTCGATGCTGAGTTAGGTAAGAGGCACGACTAAAGGCCTTCCCACACTCTTCACACTCATAGGGCTTCTCACCTGTATGAATTCTTTGATGAACCCTAAGGTCTATACTACGACTAAGGGTCATGCCACATGCTTCACATTTATAGGGTTTTTCACCAGTATGAATTCTCTGATGCTGCAGAAGGTTGGATGCACAATTAAAAGCTTTTCCACATTGCTGACATTCATAGAATTTTCCACTAGTATGAATTTTCTGATGTACTATAAGGTCTGTATGATGAGTAAAAGCCTTCCCACATTTGTCACATTCATAGAGTTTCTCTCTGTTATGAATACTCTGATGCAGAGAAAGAGGTGGACATTTTGTATAAACATGCACTTTTCCAGAACTGATTACTTCTTGCCTTGATTCCAAATCTAAAAAAAAAAAAGAAAACATTTTGTTAAATATTCTATACAATTTTTAAAATCTCTAATTAGAGGTAAATACTTGAAAGCACTCTATATAATTTACAATAGTTACTGCAACAAATGTCTCCATGAATTATCACACTTCACTACAATGATTAAATATACTTTCTTCTATCAGTTTTTATATAACATAAAAAATTAAATGCAACATTTATATTTTATCTTCCTCTAATTACATTTTTCCTTAAAAATAGGTGCTGTGGTTCACTCCTTCCTATGCGTAGCCATGTGAAATTGTTGTTGTTAACCATATCAAAATATTGAGTTTTCATTACCTTTGCTGAGGCTTTTCTTATCCATTCTACAAATTCTCCATTTTCTTTATTCCTTTCTACCTTTTCCCAGGTCCTCTCGCACTTTCCATTTAGCCACAGCTGGCCATCGTGGTAATTCTCAGAAGTGTTTTAAGGAACTTTCACACACGTACTAGTTACAGTTGCTGGGCTTATGCTCTACTTAAAATCTTATAGAATTCCGAGTATTTGAACACTTCAAAAAATTAGGCTACATAATGAAGGAGTCTAGAAAAAGAATAGCCAGGAAATATATAGAAAAGAATGGAAAGATTTATACTGGAGGATAACAAGGTATAATAAGGAATGCCTTGAGCAAGTTCAACAGTTCTAATGCATCATTTAAGGCCATGAAATAGCTCACTGTGAGTACAGGATACTGTCCAAAGACTGAAATAATATAAATAATATTCTCTCAAAGATAGTATCAGTAGAAATTAATCAGAAAATCAAAACTCTCTGTATGAAGACAGAAATATCCTCTCCAGAATAACTGTTGAGTCAATATGAACTAAAAATCGATGAAGAAAAATTATAATAATAGAAAATAAGTATATGATAGAAATTTAGGCATTCAACACTCAAAGAATTCAGATTCAACTAATTAACTCAATAAAAATGAAATAAATGTGAAGGATCCAATCACAAACTTTAGAAAATAAAAGCAGAAAAAAATGATAAAAGCAAAAATATAATGAGGTGGAAAGCTGTAGTGCTAAATAACTTAAACAGGTGGTGCCTAAAATTTTTAGTAAGTAAAATAGTGGGAGTAAAGCCAAGAAAAAAAAATAACAAGGGGGGAAATGTGCAATAAAAATAATTTGCTCAATATTATGCATAATTCTGAATTTTATCATGAATACTTTTGAAAATATAATGGAATGGTACATTCCCCGGTAAGTCCACTTAAATCCATCTTTTCTCTGACAAAATGCTAGATTAAAAAAAAAATCAACTACCTGAGATTAGTAAATAAGAGTAAACAAAATAGAATTGTGGGGGCTGGCACTGTGACGTAGCAGATAAAGCCTCCACCTGCAGTGCCGGCATCCCATATGGGCACCAGTTCAAGTTCTGGCTGCTCCACTTCCAATCCAGCTCTCTGCTATGGCCTGGGAAAGCAGCAGAAGATGGCCCAAGTCCTTGGGCCCCTGCACCCACATGAGAAGACACAGAGGAAGCTCCTGGCTTCAGATCAGTGCAGCTCCAGCCGTTGCTTGAATGGAAGACCTCTCTCTCGCTTTCTACCTCTCTTTCTCTCTCTGTGTAACTCTTTCAAATAAATAAATAAATCTTTAAAAAAAATAGAATTGTGGAGAAGAGTCAAAAGTTTGAACAGTGAGCTTCATTGGTCTGAGTTTCCTGCTATTTTATCTATTACTCATGGCCTTGTTCAAAGCCTGTTTTGGTGGAACAGGGTTGTGAAACACCAACATATTTCTTGCTATAGAAAAGAAGGTAAGAAGCACTAACAAATTGGAAAGGGAGGGTGGATTATGGTGGAGAATATTGACCAAAGTAGGTTTTCTAATTTTAGGTATGAATTAGTATAAACCCTGGCTTAATGCTAAATCACACATAAATAGAAAGGACGCAATAGAAACTGACAAAGCCTTAGAGAAGAGAAAAAAAGAATAAAACAGGAATTAAACCACTGCCTGAAACATGAAGATAAAAATTAGACTCAAATTTTATTTCTTTTTAAACTGAAAAGTATCAACACACAAACCTACCAACATTCTCCAGAAGAATGAACACAATTCAGAATTGATCAAAACAAGCATTCACACTGTCCAAGACACAACTCAGAATCATTCTGCACACACAGAACCAAAAAAAGGCGGACTACCCTTACAGGAAGGCAGATCACAGATGCTAACCCTGAGATGTTGGTATTACCAAATACTTATATGCAGCTATTTTAGTTATAGTCTATGCGATACAAAAAACACACACTTTTAAACTGAAATGAGAGAAAATATAACCTGAAAAAGAAAAACTGTATCAAGAGAAAATGAAAATTGTAGAACTAAAGAATATAATTTTAGGGCTGGCACCGTGGCGCAATGGGTAAAGCCGCTGCTTGCAGTGCCAGCGTCCCATATGGGCCCTGGTTCGAGTCCTGGCTGCTCCACTTCCAATCCAGCTCTCTGCTATGGCCTGGGAAAGCAGCAGAAGATGGCCCAAGTCCTTGGGCCACTGCACCCACGTGGGAGATCCACAAGAAGCTTCTGGCTCCTGACTTTAGATCAGCAGAGCTCCAGCTGTTTGTGGCCAACTGGGGAGTGAACCAGCAGATGAAAGACCTCTCTCTCTCTGCCTCTCTGCTTTACAAATAAATAAATAAATCTTTTTTTAAAAAAGAATATAATTTCTATGATTGCTGGATGAGCTTAGAACAGAAATGACAGAGTAAATGGTATACTTCATAGGACTATAACAGATGGTATTCAAAATGGAATTTATAGATGATACAGGTTGAATTATTTATAAAAGAACTTCAGGGATCTGTGGGAATATATCAAAGGATATGGCTGGAATAAAAAAAAGAAAAAAAGAGAGAGGGGCCAGGGGCTGTCACTCCGGCACAGTGGGTTAAAGCCCTAGCCTGAAGCACTGTCATCCCATATGGGTACTGGTTCTAGTCCCAGCTGCCCCTCTTCTGATCCAGCTCTCAGCTATGGCCTGGGAAAGCAGTGGAAGATGGCCCAAGGACTTGGGCCCTTGCACCCACATAGCAGACCCGGAAGAAACTCCTGGCTTCAGATTGGCGCAGCTCCGGCCGGTGTGGCCATGTGGGGAGTGAACCAGTAGATAGAAGACCTCTCTCTCTCTCTCTCTGCCTCTCCTTCTCTCTTCTGTGTAACTCTTTCAAATAAATAAAATAAATCTTTTTTTTTTTTTTTTTTTAAAAAGAGGGATATAAAGAGCTGTGGCATAGTGGGCTAAGCCTCCATCTTTAGCACCAGCATCCCACATTGGCACCAGTTCAAGCCCCAGCTTCTGCTCTTCCGATTCAGCTCTCTGCTATAGCATGGGAGAGCAGTAGAAGATGGCCCAAGTCCTTGGGCCCCTGCACCCAAATGGGGAGACCTGGAAGAAGCTCCTGGCTCCTGGTTTCTGATGGGCCCAGCTCTGGACATTGCAGCCATTTGGGGACTGAACCAGTGGATGGAAGACCTTTCTCTTCTCTCTCTCCCTCTTTGTCTATAACTCTCCCAAAGAATTAAATATTAAAAAAGAGAGAGAGAAAAAGATAGAAGCCGGCGCTGCGGCTCAATAGGCTAATCCTCCACATAGCGGCGCCGGCACACCGGGTTCTAGTCCCGGTCGGGGCGCCCGATTCTGTCCCAGTTGCCTCTCTTCCAGACCAGCTCTCTGCTGTGGCCCAGGAGTGCAGTGGAGGATGGCCCAAGTGCTTGGGCCCTGCACCCCATGGGAGACCAGGCTCCTGCCTTTGGATCAGCGTGGTGCGCCGGCCGCGGCGGCCATTGAAGGGTGAACCAACGGCAAAGGAAGACCTTTCTGTCTCTCTCTCTCACTGTCCACTTTGCCTGCTAAAAAAAAAAAAAAAAAAAAAAGATAGGAAAAATATTTGAGGATATAATGGCTGGAAATATCCCAAGTCTGGGTATTTTAATCTACATAGTTACATAGTTTAATTTGGGCATTTAATGTACATAAATTTGTAGATTAAAGATGCCCAGTGATTGCCAGATAGGAAGATGAAAAAAAAACCACATCCAGACATGTCATAATCAAACTGCTTAAAAAACAGATGAAACAATCTTGAAAGTAGAGAAAAATTAAATATGATATTCAAAGGAAAAATAATTCAAATGGTATAGATCACTCGCCAGACATTGTAGAGGTCAGAAGAAAATGAACAGGATATTTACAGTGATGAAAAGATTGTCAGCCCTGAATTCCAGCTTCATTGAAAATATCACTCAAGAATGAGGGTGAAATAAAGACATTTTAAGATAAGGTGAAATTGAGAGGATCTGTTATCAGCAAAATTGTTCTAGAAGAAATACTAAAGTAAATTATTCAGGCTCATGGGAAAGGATGCCAAAGAGAAACCTGAATCTCTTCAAGAATGAAAACAAGTAACCAGAAAAGTTAAATAAATAAGATCATTTATTCCCCTCTTAATTCTTTAAGACATGTATGACTGTTGAAAGCAAAATTTAGAATACTATATTTATGGTGTTTGCAATGTATGTAGATTAGAAGGCGAAAGGTGGTATAAAAATACTAACAGCGCAATATTTTTTTTGAAAGATGTATTTATTTATTTGAAAGAGTTACAGAGAGAGAGAGAGGTGTCTTCCATCTGATGGTTCACTCCCCAGTTGGCCGCACAATTGGCTGCAACGGTCGGAGCTGCGCCAATCCGAAGCCAGGAGCCAGGAGCCAGGAGCCAGGAGCCTCCTCCGGGTCTCCCATGTGGGTGCAGGGGCCCAAGGACTCAGGCCATCCTCTACTGCTTTCCCAGGCCATAGCAGAGAGCTGGATCAGAAGTGGAGCAGCCAGGTCTTGAATCGGTGCCCACATGGGATGCCAGCGCTTCAAGCCAGGGCATTAACCCTCTGCGCCACAGCGCCAGCCCCAGGCACAAGATTTTCATAATAAATTTTATAATAAATGGTACAATATCAACTGTAGATTATGAAAATTTGGATATATTGTAATCTCTATGGCATACATTAAAATAAATTAATCAGAGATATAGCATAAAAGATAATTTTTTTTTTTTAATTATAAGAAAAGTCAGCAAGAGATCTAAGATGGTTGAAGAGACAGCCCCTGTGCTACCTCTAACACAGAGAAGAACCAGAACAACAAAGTGAAGACCATATTTTTAGAAGACAGACTGGGGGAAAACTTCTTTAAAGAGACTTGGAAAGCAGCAGAGAGAGGGGAACAAGGCGTACAACCCATGCTCTGGCTCCATGGCCAGGGGAACTCCTACTTGCCAGGAAAAGCTAAGTGGGAAAGCTCAGCCATCCCTATTGTGGTTAACAGACAGGCAATCCTACCACTACGAGATTCCACAGTCCTCAGTGGTTTTAATCCAGTCAAGCAATTTGACTGGGCTCCAAGCAACAGGTTTGCTCCAAAAAAGGAATCCATGGGGGCCAGTGCTATGGTGCAGTATGCTAAGCCTCTGCCCGCAGCGCTGGCATCTCATCATGGGTGCTGGTTCATGTCCCCAGTGTTTCTTTTTCATTCCTGCTCTCTGCTTACGGCCAGGGAAAGCAGCAGAAGATGGCTGTGTGCTTGGGCCCCTGCACCTACACGGGTGACCCAAAAGAAGCTCCTGGCTCCTGGTTCTGGATCAATCCAGCTTCAACCACTGCAGCCAGATGGGGAGTGAACCAGTGGATGGAAGACCTCTCTCTGTGTCTCTCCCTCTCTGTCTATAACTATGCCTCTCAAATAAATAAATAAAACATTGAAAAAAGTAAATAAAGTAATCCACATTGTCTCCCCCTTTGAAAGCCCCAGACCCAAGCTGATACGGCAGTCACTGCAGACTCCTTTCTGTCTTAGGGTCCAGCAGGTAGCCCCATCACAACCAGAAGCCTAGGGAGCCAATAAACTTCACAAGGCACACAGCAGGACTCTCTGTACTTTGGAGCTGCAAGACTGCTGGACACAAGCCCCAGAGCTATGCTTGCTCACTCTGTGTGATCGAGGGAAGTTCCCCTCCACTTTTTGGAGCTCAGTGCTAAGTGGTAGCCAATACACAAGCCCAAAGGCCAGATCTGAGGAATTTCACTTCTGTGTCTCTTCGTTCAGGGCTCTGGGGAGGTGGTTATGGCTTTACCTATGTTTGTCCTGTTGTAGGGTAATTTTCTTCACCATATACTTCACCACCTGATATTATTTTTTCTACTTCTTTATACATTTATTTTACATCTTCCTTAATATTTACTAATACTCCCATTTTATATGCCAAATATAAGAATGAGTATATTTTTAGGCAACAGAGCCACATATATAAATCTAAGAAAAGAGGATCTCGAATCAGTTGAATCCAAGATTGGTAAAATGTTACACTAGGGGAGCCTACACTGTGGCGTAATGAGTAAAGCTGCCACCTGCAGTGCTGGTATCCCATATGGGTGCCAGTTCAAGTCTCAGCTGCTCTTCTTCTGATCTGGCGCTCTGCTATGGCCTGGGAAAGCCACATAAGATGGCCCAAGTGTTTGGGCCCCTGTACCCACATGGGAGACCTGGAAGAAGCTCCTGGCTTCTAGCTTTGGATCGGCTCAGCTTCAGCTGTTGTGGTCATGTGGGGAAGGAACCAGAAGATAGAAGACTTTTCCCTCTGTCTCTCCCTCTCACCGTCACTTAAATATTTTATTTATTTCTTTGAGAGGGAGAGTTACAGACAGTGAGAGGGAGAGACAGAGAGAAAGTTCTTCCTTCCATTGGTTCACTCCCCAATTGGCCGCAACGTCCAGAGCTGCGCCGATCTGAAGCCAGAAGCTTCTTCTGGGTCTCCCACGCAGGTGTAGGGGCCCAAGGACTTGCGCCATCTGCTACTGCTTTCTCAGGCCATAGCAGAGAGCTGGATTAGAAGAGTAGCAGCTGGGACTAGAACCGGCGCCCATATGGGATGAAAGAGCTGTAGGCAGAGGATTAACCTACTGCACCACAGCGCCGGCCCCCAAAAAATCTTTTTTTAAAAAAATATTTATTTTTTTGCCATGGGAGACCAGGAAAAGCACCTGGATCCTGGCTCCTGCCATCGGATCGGCGTGGTGCGCCGGCCACAGCGCGCCGGCCGCGGCGGCCATTGGAGGGTGAACCAACGGCAAAGGAAGACCTTTCTCTCTGTCTCTCTCTCTCACTGTCCACTCTGCCTGTCAAAAAAATAAAAAATAAAAAATAAAAAAAAAGATTTATTAAAAAAATATTTATTTTTTTGAGAGGAAGAGTTAAAAACAGAGAGAGGGAGAGACAGAGAGAAAGGTCTTCCTCCTGCTGGTTCACTCCCCAAATGACTGTTACAGCCATAGCTGAGCTGATCTGAAGCCAGGAGCCAGGAGCTTCCTCTGGGTCTCTCATGCAGCTGTAGGGACCCAAGTCCTTCAGCCATCCTCCACTGCTTTCCCAGGCCATAGATTGGAAGAGGAGCAGCTGGGACTGGACGCAGCACCCATATGGGATTAACCCACTGTACCACAGCACCAACCCTTAATAAATACATCTTTACACTAGGAAAGACAGTGCCCATCACTTAACTGGGATGGGAAAATATGAGAATAAAGAGAGGAATGATTAATTCAGGTAAAGAGGAAGGTCAATGGGTACCTCATATAGAATATTTATCTCCCCTCTAGATCACAAGGCACTCCTCTACTGTGAATTGAGATTTCTAACCAATATTCCAAATGTGTGTTACTGCCTTGAGCACTTGGGCTGTTACCTACAGAGACAGCTAACTGCAGCCAGAATTACTTTTACTTACCAATACACCATCTTCTTGTTTCTTCCCTTAAAATCATCCAGGGCTCTTTTCCTTGCTCTAATAATGTGATTACGTCAGGCTTAGAAATGGAATATCTGGCTTATAAAGAAAAAAAAGTCACATGATCGAGAAAAAATACGCAGTCAAAATTATACTAAAATAAATGTCAAAATGATATTGAGTAAGATTCTGGAAAACAAATTAAAGAATAAGAAATCAGTTAAGCAGAACAAGCTTTTTTTTTTAAAACAATTTACACACCTATATCCTTTTTCCTTGAAAGTACAAATAATATGCAGCTCAACATACAGATTCTGTACGCTGGTATCCATTCCTGCTTTACCATATTCTGGCTGTAGGTGAACTTGGGTAAGTCACTTAACCCCATTGTTCAGTATTTGCATTTGGAAAATGAGGATAATAATATTAAGGTTGATGGATTTAATAAGAATGAGACCATACGGACACACACACATAGCACTTGGAGTATTATCTATAGTAAAAACAATGCTAACTATTTTTTTTTTTTGACAGGCAGAGTGGACAGTGAGAGAGAGACAGAGAGAAAGGTCTTCCTTTGCCGTTGGTTCACCCTCCAATGGCCGCCGTGGCCAGTGCGCTGTGGCCGGCGCACTGCGCTGATCCGATGGCAGGAGCCAGGTGCTTCTCCTGGTCTCGCATGGGGTGCAGGGCCCAAGTACTTGGGCCATCCTCCACTGCACTCCCTGGCCATAGCAGAGAGCTGGCCTGGAAGAGGGGCAACCGGGACAGACTCCGGCGCCCCGACCAGGACTAGAACCCGGTGTGCTGGTGCTGCAAGGTGGAGGATTAGCCTAGTGAACAATGCTAACTATTAATATCATTGCTTAACAGTACACAGAAGAGATACCTACAGAATATCCACTCCATTTAAAGTGTAATGTTTATAGATTACATCAACCCACAAATCAGATTCAGTTGGTCTTAGGAAATGGAATGTGTGTGCTTCAGTTTTAAATGAATTCTGCTGATCCAATCCATCACTATATGTACATCAATAAAGGTTTTTTGATTATTAGAGCAATTGAAGACCTTCTGTCAAACTGATCTCCTTGCAGGTGTATCAAATAATATAATGGAGTATCTACATTTAGCATACATAAATAGGAAACCATAATCATTTGTCACTAATTACACAATATTAGAGTTCTTCAAAAAGTACATGGAAAATGGAATTAAAGACAAGTTTGGGCCAAGCACGGGGATATTTAGGGAACAAGTCAGTGGAGGGAAGATCTCTCTGTCTCTGTCTCTTTCTCTTTTTCTGATGCTTTGTCTTTCAAATAAATAAATCTTGAAAACAAAACAAATTGGCTTTGGTGCCAAAAAAAAGTGAAATCCATACTTTTTCATAATATGCATATATATGAACTTCCTGAAGCCACTGATCCTACTCTAGGCCTTCCTCACAAAGGAAAAAAGCAATTCCAAGTAGGACCAGAGAAAGCTTAAACATCACTAAAAGACAGGGAAGATGAATGTGTTTAATGGAGTTAGAATTTCTTTGGAAAAAAGTGGAAAAGAAAAGTAGTAGTTTCCTAAAAGGCAGCCCTGAAAATTAAGAGTAGGAACAAACATATAAGCTAGAGAGAAGATTCTAAAGTACCCTAAATTACTTGAGGCAGAAAATGTACCCAGTGAGACCAAGTTAGCATAGTTCTCCATCATCACATCCTGGTATAAGGTTTTCTGAGTAAGGTTAAGACATTCCCATTCCTGCCGAGAGAAATCTACAGCCACATCTGTGAATGTCACTGATCCCTGAAATGGAAAATCCGCATAATATTGGAAAAATGAAAGGAGTATTTTCAAGAGGGATGGAGAGGAGATAAGGCTAGTATTGCAGGGAGTGAGCAATATGGGAAGTATGTGGGCCACTAATCTGTACTTTGAGAGGGGACTGAAGTAGAATGTATATGTATTTTTAAAGATTTCTATCATAAACAAAACTATGGAATGCTTTTAAATGGATAAACCATTTGGGACTAGATAAAATAATGTCTGCCTATTAAATAGTGAATATAAGCATAAAGTGTGACTGCTATCTGTCACATAAATTTGCTAAAGTACACGAGTTGCTGGGGAAAAAGTTTTTGAGAAAAAAATGTAATCACATTTTTTTTTTTTCAAAATACAGTATAGGGCTGGCATTGTGGCACAGCAGGTGCCAGTGACCAGTGACCACATGGGATGCCAGCACTGCAAGTGGTGGCCTCACCCACTATGCCACAGCACTGGTCCCCCGCTATCATGTTTTAAGCTGTTCTACTCAGATTCGCATAACCATAAACCAATAGTAGCCTCCAGCCAATAGCTAATGAAGAATTTCGGTCTTCAGTCCAACAGTCCGTGGGGAATTGGATCTTTTTTAACAACCAATTAAGTCCGGAAATACAGCCACTCAAAATTGAATCTAATGATTGCAGGGGCAGGCATTTGGTACAGTAGTTAAATTGCCATTTGGAATCTCTACATTCCATATCAGAGTATGTGGTTTGAGTTCTAGCTCTGCTTTCAATCCAGCTTCTTGCTACTGTACACCCTAGGAGGGTGGCACATGATGGCTCAGGTACTTGGGTCCCTATAACCCAGAGGGAGATCTGGCTCCTGGTTTCGTCTGGCCTAGTCCTGGCTGTTACAGGTATGCGGGGAGTAAACGAGTAGATAAAGATCTCTCTAAAGCTTGCTGCCTGCCCCTTCTTCATTCTTGCTATCCTTCTCTTTCAAATAAAATGAAAATAAATAAAACTGTTTAAAGAATGACTAAAGCCCTTACCCACACCTTAACTGCCTTATAAAAGACTCATAGCCAGGGATGTAAGCTAAGCTATGCCTGGATTTCTGATCCCCAGAAATTATAAATTAAATGCTATTTTAAATCATTAAATTTCAAGGTAGTTATGTACCATCTCTCACCAAACATCTGCTTACGCTGAGTGTGGTCAGCACCTTCTGTGTAGGTTACCAATGTTGTGTAATAACTGACAACAAATACACTGAGTAAAAGAATCCTGAGGAAGGATCATGAGTTATAATCATAGCACCCATTATTTATAAACATAGCACCCCACTATGTCCCATTTAACAGAATCATCTTGGTATTTCTCTCTCAGGGACTTCCTACCAAGATCTATGACCTCTCAGTCTAGTCTGCAAGTCCCAATCATCCACTAACCCACACAAATCAAGAAATTACAGCCTACACTGAAATTCGGTCAATCAATACTAAATTTCTGCCTTCTCTACAGGAAATTGCAAGTCAATGAAAATTTAAGTTGTGTCATAGATGGCCAAATACAACCATTGTCTCTATCTCACCAAACTCGGCTTTACTCAAAAAACGTCAATCTTTACTTTAAATGACTTAATTCCATCATGCATCATGGCATCTAAGACATGCTGAATTATCTGGTAATTATGTGATCACTAATAAGTTTAGAATGGGTCACATAAGAAGGATGCTGGGTAATTTGGCATCACAGTTCACTGCAAGAACAAGAGCTGGAAACAGGTTATTCAAGGGGCTTCTGGTAGGAAAGCTTAGGTAAACTAACAAAAATACTTACATAGCCAAAACACACAAACATATTTTAACAAAGAAAAAAAATCAACTTACATGCGCCATGGTTTTAGATCTGCAAGAGCAGATCAGTCCTGAGGGTCACGCTATCAGAAAAGCACAGATGCCGATTGTCAGAGCTGGGAGAAGAGAAAGACACTGAGACCAATATTGCTTTAATGTTCTTGAGTGACTTTAACTTACTTAATATTGCTCTTATACTCACATATTTCAGATTCCAAAATATTTGCTAAAACACATAATTCGTAAACTTAAGGGTCTGGATAAATAAAGTTCCTCTCCCAAACCATAAGTGTCTTCCCTGGACAAAGTCATAGAAAAAAGACACTTTTGCCTTGAGGACAAACAGGCAACTGTAGACCAGTGATTAAGCAACAGAGTCCTACTTGGAGTAGACTTTCCTTCTATTCCACACCTCCCAAGACAGAAAAGGGCCCTCATCATGCAACTCACAACTTCTTGTGGCTTGGGAATTGAGTAAAATTGGCTTAAGATGCTGAAGCCAGGGGGCCAGTGCTGTGGCGCAGCAGGTTAATGCCCTGGTCTGAAGCACCGAAATCCCACATGGGCGCTTGTTCGAGAACCGGCTGCTCCTCTTCCGATCCAGCTCTCTGCTATGGTCTGGGAAAGCAGTAGAAGATAGCCCAAGTCCTTGGACCCCTGCACACAAATGAGAGACCAGGAAGAAGCTCCTGGCTCCTGGCTTCATTTCGGCGCAGCTCAAGCCTTTGCGGTCATCTGGGGAGTGAACCAGCGGATGAAGACCTCACTCTCTGTCTCTACCTCTCTCTGTAACTCTGTCTTTCAAATAAATAAATAAATCTTAAACAAAAAAATGCTGAAGCCAGAAAGGCAGTGTTCACTATTTTGAGTCTGAGAAAGCTTACTAGTTAAACACATACCATCATTATACTAACACAGACCATTAAACAGACCATCATTATACTAGAATATCAAGTAGACATCAAACGTAAAGTAGGGAAAATACTTATATTGCCAAAAGAAAAAGGTGAACCAACATAATTATAATTGTAAAATACACAGACACATCAATCAATAGAGACAAAGATTAGCAGACACACTATTGAAATCAGTAGATAGGAAAGTTTGGAAGGTTATAGGAACATTTGTTAACAATGTTTTTCTTTTTTGTTTGACATTTTCTTTTTAAAACTGTTTTCCTAATTATAATAATGCCCATAGGTTAAACTTGAAATCAGTGTTCTTTTTGGTTTTGTTGTTAACAGGAAGATACTCTCCAAAAAAGAAAGGGACTTGCAGACAATTCCTTGTTCTCTAAATTTAGGTTGTATTATGGAAAGAACGGCTTATCTTTGTTTCTTTTGGATCCCCCTATCTGAAATCACTTGATCATTTCTTCTCACATATAATAGAGCTCTGTCTAGACAACATGGGGAGAAGTCCCAGAGTCATATCTTTTTTTTTTTTTTTAAGATTTATTTTTTATTTACTTGAAAGGCAGAGTTACAGAGAGGAGGAGAGACAGAGAGAGAGAGATCTTCCATCTACTGGTTCATTCCCTAAATGGCCGTGGATGTCTAGAAGACATCATAACCTAGCTGACAGGTTTAGAAACAAAATAAACCTTTCCATTGAGAAGCCCTAAAATACAGCTCTGTGGGAGACCATCATGAATTCATACAAGAGTACCCAGGAGGTTGGTGTGTGGTGCAGCAGGTTAAGCCTATGCCTACAAGGCTGCCATCCCTTTTGGGTGCAGGTTCAAGATCTGACTGCTGCACTTCTGATCCAGCTCCCTGCAAATGTGTCCGGGAAGGCAGTGGAGAATGGCCCAAGTACTTGGGCCCCTGCACCTGCATAGGAGACCTGGATGAACTTCATGGCTCCCCGCTTCAGCCTGGTTCAGCTTTGGTCGTTGTGGCCATTAGGGGAGTGAACCAACAGACGGAAGATCTCTCTCTGCCTCTCCTTTTCTCTCTGTAACTGCCCTCCAAAAAAATCTTATTTTTTTTAAAAGATTTATATATTTACTTGAGAGGCAGAGTTACAGACAGAGACGGAGAGACAAAGCTGGGCCAATCAGGAGCCAGGAGCTTCTTCTGGGTCTCCCACATGGGTGCAGTGGTCCAAGCACTTGAGCCATATTCCACTGCTTTCCCAGGCCATCAGCAGAGAGATGGATCAGAAGAGGAGCAGCTGGGACTCCAACGGGCGATCACATGGGATACCAGTGCCACAGGTGGAGGCTTGACCTACTATATCACAACACCAGACCCAAATAAATCTTCCTTAAAAAATGTTACAGCACTCTGGGCCAGCGCTGTGGTGCAGCAGGTTAATGCCCTGGCCTGAAACATTGGCATCCCATATGGGCACCGGTTCAAGACCCGGCTGCTCCTCTTCTGATCCAGCTCTCTGCTATGGCCTGGGAAAGCAGTAGAAGATGGCCCAAGTCCTTGGGCCCCTGCACATGTGTGGGAGACCCAGAGGAGGTTCTTGGCTCCTGGCTTCGGATTGGCACAGCTCCAGATGTTGCGGCCAACTGGGGAGTGAACCAGAGGATAGAAGACCTCAGACCTCTCTCTCTCTCTCTCTCTCTGCCTCTCCTCTCTCTGTGTAAATCTGTCTTTCAAATAAATAAATAAATCTTTTTTTAAAAAAGATGTTACAGCACAAAATCCATTTATGGCTAGAGATTGCTCAGAATTGGCATAATTCATTCATATCGTGATTGTTGCTATAAGCAGACTAAAGTACTTTTCCAGTGAATTCACAAGATAGGTCATCTAAACCTTTCCCAGTGGCCTCCTGCATACAGTCTTAGACTATTCCTATTCAGATTTTACCTTAGTTGATACATACTAGGCATTATCAAGGAAATAAGTCTCTTCAGTGACTATAATGCCCCAAATACTACAAATTCCATGTCTACCATACAGATGACATTTGTTAAGTGTCTAAATGTCGACAAAATTTCACATCTAGAAATGTTTTTTTAAAAAAAAACTATAGAAGAATACAAGATATATGCACAAGGATGTTCATGAGAGTATTTCTGATAACTGAACATTTAAACAAATATCTCACAGTAGGAACAAGTTAAACATATTTTGGTCTGCTAAATTGTAACATATTATGCCATCACTGGTAACTATCACAATAGCCCATTTCTATGGTGGAAAAAAACTTTAACTCAGTGAAGAAGCCGGGTTTTAAAAGGCACAAGTTAAAACATGATAATCTATTGAAATTAAGACCACAGGCTCTGTTGTTACTTTCAGGAATAGAAAATAGGCTTTAGCTGTGAAAGTTAGTAACAGCTTTGTGCCTCTGTTTCCACATCCCTGCAGAGAGAAGATGAGAGTATCATATACTATATGATTGTTTTGACAAGGAGATAATCCACACTAAAAAGTACACTACCCTGGTTGATCTACGCTATTATTACTGATGATGAAAATAGTTATATCTTCCTTAATCAATCATTATACAATAACGCTAATATTGATGACTCCTGTTTTGCTTACAGTAAAATTTGTTTCTTGGGGTTTGCTTTCCTTATAATCCCAGTTTTTAAAATTCCGGTGCATATGTGTATATATGTGGAGAAAGAGAAAGAGACAGAGCGGGGTATCACACAGGAAAGGATAAAATTTCCCTTTCCCAAGGCCCCAGCAACTAGAGACCAAGAAAAACCTCATCCAGCATTATGAATCTCTTTCAAGAACATAATATGATAAAATGGAGAATCTCCACAAAATATGAAAATTTAGGTGTATTAAGTATTGCAATCTTTGGAAATATTGTTTGTACTTGCAATATACATGGACATCAGATATTGCTGTCATTTTCTCTGAGAGTAACCTTAAAACTATAAATTACTAATTCTGAAAGTATGTCTCCGGGTAATTACATTAGATAATCTTTCTAACATATAAAAGCGTTGTAAATAATCAGAATAGTTTTCCTAGTCAAATGATTATTTGTGGTTTACAGGACACAGCAGGGAACCTGGAACCTGGCGCTCACGTCGCCCCCGCACAAGGACAACCATGCACCTGCCAGCCTCACACTCGCGCCCACCGTCACGGGGCACGGCGTGGCCTCTCGCCCCACTCCCGGGCTGTCTCCCCCAAGCTGCCGCTACAGTCCCCGCAGCTCAGGCTCCCACGGACCTACCTGAGGGGCGGGCATACACGCCCGGATCGCGCTCGCGACCCCGCGCTTTGAGCGCCTGCCGCAGCCCCCTCCCACCGCCACGCAGGTTCCCGCGCGCGCGGGGAAATCTAGGTCCGCAGGGTCCTTTCCTCAGCGACCCACACCAACTCCTTCCTCAGACTGAAACAACTCACGGGCAGCGCGCGAGCCGAGAGAAGGAAGCCAAGTTCTCTCCCGAGCCCATGCCCACGTCACCCGGGGGGGAAACGCAGCCCTGGGTCCGAAACCCTGACAAGAACCCCCGGCGGCGTCCTCCGGTTTCGCGCGCGCCGCCCACGGCTCGGGCCCCAGCGCCTTCTGGGAGTCGCAGGCTGCACCTGGGAGTGCGCAAGCGTAGATCGCCCGGCTGCGGGGGGGCCCCAAGGTGAGGCCCGGGGCGATCTCCGTGCCTTCTCCGAGCCGAGAGGGGACGCGTTGGGTGGAACGGTACCCTGCTAGTCTCTACAGGGAACTCCGGGGCTAGTATATTTCGAGGCATCAGGCCCACATGCGAGGGTCTGCAGCCCCAAATCAGCGCTGTGCCCCGCACGCAGATCGCGGGCTTGACTGTCTGTTACAAGCTCCTGGGAGTGGGCTCAGTTGATCTTGCTGTATGCTTCTGTGTCCTCGGGTGTGCGTGCGCCCTCCTGTGTGGTCCCTGTGTATTCCATCTTCTCCCTAAAATCAAATGTACAGTAAAATCAAACGTACAGTAAAATAAAAATGTAGACTCTACAAAGGGGTACTGTATACTGGGGTACGTGGAAGGAAAGGTTGCTTATCTTTTGACAAATGTTTTTGTACCTTTTGCGTTATTTTCCTATGTATACATTGTTAGTGGAGGGGAGGGTGGTTAGCGGAGCGAATTTCCTAGATGCTTTTCCTCAGCTTTGTATAACAATAAAAAGCCAGGAAGCATGTTGCAAAAAAGCGGATACTTTAATTACTTGTTTTGCAAGGCGACAGAAAAAGCGACTCGTCTGAGAGTAGCCAAGACAGTGCCTGGATGGGACGATGGCTTTCAGGAAGTGCCCTGGGTGTTGCTGTTTTTTTTTTTAAATTTATTTTTTATTTATTTTTATTTTTTGACAGGCAGAGTGGACAGTGAGAGAGAGAGACAGAGAGAAAGGTCTTCCTTTGCTGTTGGTTCACCCTCCAATGGCCGCTGCACTGCGGCCAGCGCACCGCGCTGATCCGATGGCAGGAGCCGGGTGCTTCTCCTGGTCTCCCATGGGGTGCAGGGCCCAAAGACTTGGGCCGTCCTCCACTGCACTCCCTGGCCACAGCAGAGAGCTGGCCTGGAAGAGGAGCAACTGGGACAGAATCCGGCGCCCCGACTGGGACTAGAACCCGGTGTGCTGGCGCTGCAAGGCGGAGGATTAGCCTAGTGAGCCGCAGCGCTGGCAAGGGTGTTTAAGGTCTTGCTGTTTTTATTTTTTAATGAGGCACCTATTGAGCAGGGGTTTTTACATAATGTATGCTTTTTTGCTTGGGGCACATGGAGTTAACAGGGGTCTTTTGGGGACAGTCTAGATGGGAGTAGCTTAGAACCAGCTTCCTCTCTGGTGCACTCTAGTTCTGGGTGGAAGATTTGCGACTAGCTTGAAAATGTGGCCGTAGGCTCATACACAAAACGACAAAACGTGATGTTAACAGTGGGGAGAGGTCCTTGCAGCCAGCTAAAAGCCTGAGGGACCCACAGACCTCTAGCCCAATCAGAGGGCCTCATACATTATAAGTTTAAAATATGTAACAGTGATTTTCTCATTTGCTCAACTCTCTCATGAAAGTGAATACATACGGACACAGCATTCTGTCAGCACGTCCATCCCCCCAGATTTGGAGCCTCTGGCCGGCCATATGAGTGAAAAGCAAAGGATTTTTCAGTGGGATCTCATGACCTAAGCATTGGCAATGAAAGATGTTTCTCAATCTGTAAGGTTTTAAAACACTTTTTTGGAAGATGTATTTATTTGTTTGAAAGGCAGAGTTACTGTTAGGAAAAGTTTCAGATTGGTGCCTCTTCACATGGGGCACCAAATTGAAATCGGACAAGACCCCCTAAAATTTACCCTGAAATGTGGCCCCTTGAAGTTCCCTAGAAATGCTACTGGAATTTGGGGTGTCTTATGATCTCACCATGGGCTTATTACTAAATCCCCGATATTAATAAGCCCAAGAGGGTTCTTGCCTAATATTTAGAGAAGAATTCTAAATACCGGCACAGATAAATGAGGCAGCATGGTACGTTTTAAGCTTTTATTTAGTGAGAAAGATGCATAGGAGAGTGAGAGCTTTATTTAGGGGAGAGAAGTGAATGGGGGTTCATAACGAGCGCCAGGAACCAGCCACGTGGAAGAGCATCTAGGCCAGGAAGCCCAGAGCACATGGCCCGAAGGCCATGCGCCCTGGAGGGGCAGGGCTACAGCAAGCCCTGTCCTGGCAAGAGGCCAGGGAAAAAGAGCAGGGCCCGGGCACACTGTGCCCTAGGCTTTTAACCCACACCAAAGAGGAGTGGTTAATTAACCTGATTGGCTGGTGGGCACCCCGGTGTGGCCAGGTAGGGGAATGAGGCCACACAGGGGCATGGCAAAGGCATCAGGTAGGAGCATGAGGTCACACAGGGGCGTGCTCTTCCAGTTCACAAATCTGATCAATTTTAACCTGTATGCCTGCCTACTTCAAAATGTTAGGAAAGGAGGCATAGAATAGAAAGGAGGCAGTGTATGAATACAGCCAGACTGAATTTATTCAAAGAAAATAAATCCGTAGAAGTGAGTGACCCATGTGCCCATGATGGAACACGTGGCAGAGGGCCCTGACCCTAAGGGGCCGGGACTTTTTATATTTTAGGAGGGCTGGGGATAAGGGTGAGGTAAGGGGCAGCAGGCAGAGGGGAATCCCTGGAACTGGTCTTTCAATCGTTCAGAGCAACTGGTCTTTCAGGTGGCTGTGGGGGGTGGGGTATGAAGGCAATAGCGTGTGAGACCCAACTGAGTTTCAAGGGCAAAGAATACATTCCAGTATTTATCTCTTGAGCAATGAGGGAGAATGGCTGAGGCCTATGTCCTTGTTCCATCAGCCATCTAGGGAGTGAACCAGGTGATAGAAGATCTGTGTGTGTGTGTGTGTGTGTGTGTGTAACTCTACCTTCCAAATAAATAACTCTTTGCAAAAAAAAATAGGGCTTACTACTGAAACCTTATGAATCTTGTGGTTAGATTCCCAGAGCATAGAAAATAAGCCTGACATGGTTTCTGATGGAGCAAGGACAAAAGCTTTAGATCTATTTTAGTCCCTTGCCTATGTGACTAAGAGCGGACCCCAACTCACTGCATTCTTCCTTGACCAGCTCAACCCTGCCCTGACCATTACCCCAAACTCTCCCAGGCCCTCTCAACTATATCTTAAGAGCTCAACTTTAGTCCAAGCTCCCCCCTCAACCCCAGACATATGCCATGTGAGCCTCTAGTGAGTGCGAGAATGTCTCTCTGCCATGCATTTGCTGGGAGTGAGCCCCTCTCAGGTTTGTCCCCTGAATAAACCTGTTCTGACTGTGTCTCTTGCCTCCTCTTTGTCTTGCTCTTCTATTCTTATGGTTTCTGTCTTGAAGGACTTAAAACCTAGAATGGAAAGAGTAACAGGCACAAATACATTAACACATGTAGGGATAGAGTCCCTAGCTTGCTGAATATCAGTTTCTCACTCTGGCTTGCTCGCTTGCCAGCCGTAAGGCCATGATAGGCCTCATTCTGGACCGGGAAGGAGGAAGGTCAGGTCCTTGAGAACAAAGAAAGTAAGCTTTCCTGGAATGCATGACCTTCTGCTCCCCACCAGCTCCCCTGGGATTTATGGCCCAATGCTTCCCTCCAGTGCCTCCTCGTGCCACCCCCTTTGTGTAGCCTTCCTGCCACGTAATGTATATAGCCTACACGTTTAAATGAACCAATGAACATGTTAGGTCCCAATACCTTGCCATATAGAGAGTAAGAAGGTAACCTATGTAGGAGATGACCTGCACCCTTGAAAGTGTGAGGCTATAAAAACCTCTCTTATGCAAACGGGGCCTTTTGCCTGTGCACTGCCAAATGGCTGTGTGCAGGTAGGGTTCCCAGCCGGCGGGTAACAAATAAACCTCTGCTTTTGTATCCGCCACTGTGCCTTGTGCATTAATTGGGAAATTCAGACACAACACACATACACAGTCTCAAGAGGTAATATAGGAAGGAATGTATGTTTACACTACAAAGCACCGCAGATTCAGATCGCTCACTCTGAGCCCCCAGTGCGTGGACACATTAACTGCTGCTTCCTTCTCCAAGTCTAGGTCCCAGCAAAAACTTGATAATCTAGCTTGGGGCAGGAGAAGGGACGTCAGGAAGGAGGGCTGGGAAAGGTAGCAGAATCAGACACCTCCCCACATCTCTGTGGCAGCAGAAAAAATTCACGCTGATGGCCCAGAACTGATGCATGTGAGCAATTCCTGCAGTTTTCTTTCTCTCCCGAGGAAACCCCTGTATCCCTTCCACTCTGGCTCTATCTCTGGGGGACCCCTGGAAACTGAAGAGCTAGGCAAGGACTCTCCTTCTTCACTTTCTCTGCGGCACTGTCAGGCCAGCAGGGATTGGGGTGGGGCGGGCCCATTCCTCTTCCACTGTAATGGGAACCCCGGGGTGGAGCCCTCTGAGCAGGTGCTGGCCTCTCACAGGCGCAAGAGCTCCTAAAAGAGATTGGCACTGTGTTTGTGGGGACTGCCTTCTAAACACCAGGAACATAGATTTCTTTTCAGAGGCCTACACTTGGGCTCAAAAGACGAGAGGCCTGCTGTAACCACCACATTTTTTTTTCCATTTAACTTCTTTATTTATCAGTGGGAAACTGAGGCTCTGGACAATTGTGACTTAACCTGAACATAATTGTAAGTATTTTCAATACCAACAATTTTCACATAACACAACCAAAATTAAGCTAAGTAATTCCATCTTTTCAAAGCCACAATTAATAAAGAGCAATATATAGCATTTAGCAAGTCAACCCAAATCTTGGTTGTATCTGAACAAAATAAGTCTATTACAAGAGAGCTATCATTAAAGAACACTATTGACAAGTTCTTAGCACCATGATACAACTAAATGTTTTACCAAATAGGAAGTTTCCAGCATAATTTTTCACTTTCATTCCTATCATTAGTCTAAATTTACTAATTGTGAATTAGGCAGGTGTACTCTACTAGGCCAGACCTATGAGATGAGCCCCTGGAGAATCCAGATGCCGAATGGTTTACTGATGGCAGCAGCTATATGAAGGAAGGAGTTAGAAAGGCAGATGAGATATATACAGATTACAGAGATACTTTCCTTGTGGTACATGCACACGCAGCATCTGGAAAGAGAGGGGCTTACTGACTGCAAAGAGGTCCCCTGTTAAATATGGAAGAGATACTTGCTCTACCTCAGGCAGTACTGGAGCCTGTAGAAGTGGTCGTCATCCACTGCCAGGGATATCAAAAGGGAGATAATTATATTAACCAGGGAAATG